CATCTGCACAAACCCTATTATAAAATGTGCTTCCATTAAGAATGATGATGTATCTAAATGAAGTACATCATTTCTTCCATTTCTCTGTTGAGTTTGTTGGGGACGATGATGTATTTAAATGAAGTAAATAATTATAAAGAAAACAACTGAAACATGACGCTTTTTAGTTGGTTTTTGGCAGCAAAAAATTACCTCCACGACCGTTATTTGCGTGCTCACATACCAGGTGAGAAAATGGGTCGAAATGGTATAATTGAAAAGATATTTAATATTTTTGTGGGGTAATAGGACGTCCACAAAGTTAAAGTGTTTTTTGAAAATTCGAGACAACTTCAATGATGATTTTATGTCTTTTCTCTTTTTTCTATTCCATCCTCTAGTAAAATTAATAGTGTTCTCATTTACTCTTCAGTGTAACTCAAATCCTTACCTAATCAATTAGTTGTGCAGGTGCTCAAGCACTTGATAAGTTTTGAAGTTTTGATTTCAAATCAGCATTTGTTCATGAAATTTGCAAAAAAAAAAATCAACTTCAATTTCTAATATAAAATTTTCCTAAAATTAGGAATTCAAACTCTTAGTTGTGGTTTCAATTTTTTTTTAAAAAAAAAATATAAAATTTTGCAAACAAAGACTCATGCTCGACGTGAAGAGATTGTTCATACAATTTGAATGCATTAGACCAAAAAATAGATATTTACTGTTATTGTTGGTTTTGTGTTCATAAATATCAAAACAATTTTTGCCAAAGTCCAATATAAGTATATATGATTTCTTGTTTTTACTTCTACTTGTAGTTCTTACATGACGTTTCAAAAAAATATCTAAAATACATCAACCATAACAAAGATAAATCGAGACGATTTCCAAAAGTTTGATTATGGCAATACATAATAGATTAACTGAAAAATTAATATGCTATAAATTAAATTAAATAATCGAACCAACTCATTAACACCCCTAATTTACACATTATGTCGAATTTTGTTCCCCTTTCAGTCTTGATTTTATATCTTGTTTGGAAGATTGTGATTTGCAGGATGCTGGATATCTTGGGTTAAAGTTCACTTGGAGTGACAATAGAGACCCGCCCAATACAATCTGGAAGAGGCTTGACAGATTTGCTTATAACAACCACTAGTTTGATGTTTTTAATGGGACCACGGTTACTCATCTCTCTAGAACTTGCTCTGACCATGCCCCCTCTTAAATAATTATAGTCCTGTAGATGTTAACTTTATTAAATATTTCAGATTCCTCAATTTTTGGACTGAAAATGATGGGTTTCTCAGTGTTGTACAGGAAGCTTGGTCTTAAGATCAAGAAGGAAACGCCCTACAAGTCCTTCATAAAAAACTCAAGGCCACTATCAAAGCTCTTAGTGCATGGTCTAGAATAGCTTATGGAGACTTCCATGAAGAACCTAAGAAACTAGAAAATACTATTAAAGACCTGGAAGAGAACTCCATCAACAATAATACTCCGGAGAACAGGATAAACATTTCTAAGGCTAAGGTTGAATTCACTAGATTCCTGAAAATTCAAGAAAAAGTCCTAAGCCAAAAGGCTAGGATTAAATGGCTTGAAGATGGTGATACTAACTCTGCTTTCTTCCACAGGGTAATCAAGGATAAAAGAAAAAAGCACTCAATACACAAAATCAAAGATCAAGAGGGTAATTGGGTAGAGGGAACAACTCAAGTTGTTGATGTTGCAGTCAATTTTTTCACCAATCTGTTCAAAGCTGAGCCCACTGAGGAAGATAGTAATATTTTTAATCTCGTAGAAAGGGTTGTCACCATTGAAGACAACAACAACCTTAACAGCTTGTCAACTCTCCAAGAGATCAAAAACACTATTTTTTCAATTGATCCAGACAGTGCCCCTGGGCCTGACGAACTAAATGGAAAATTCTACCAATCAACCTGGCAAATCATAGCAGCGGACCTCCATGCAGCAATAATTTCATTCTTTCAAGGTGCTATCCTTTCATTCTCCCACACTTGTATAGTGATGCTTCCTAAAGTTAATTCTCCTCAAGATTTTTCTGAGATTAGGCCTATCAGTCTTTGTAATACTTCGTGCAAGATCATTGCTAAATTGATCAATAAAAGGGTTTCCAAAATTCTTCATAATATAATTAGCCCCAACCAAAGTGGTTTTGTTAAAGGGAGAGCTATTACTGAAAATATCCTCCTTGCCCAAGAAATTGTCAATGATATCGGCAAATCTAATTTTTGGGGGAATGTTGTTATTAAACTAGACATGTCTAAGGCCTACGATAGAGTCTCTTGGTCTTTTTTGTGCTTTATTTTGAGGAGGTTTGGTTTTGCTAAAAGTTGGATTGATCTTAGTAATATGTTCATCTCCTATAATTGGTATTTTGTTCTTGTGAATGGAAGTAGGCAAGGTTTCTTTAAATCTGGGCGGGGTCTTAGACAGGGAGACCCCCTCTTCCCTAGTCTCTTTGTTCTCTCGACAGAATTACTTTTCAAGATGCTTAATTCTCTGTATAGAGTCTCTGCGTTTAGAGGGTTTCTTATGCATCCATATGGTCCTCAAATTAACCATCTCTTTTTTGTAGATGACACTATTGTTTTCAGTAGCGGGAGGAAAGCCACTCTTCAAGCTATCCTTAAAACTCTAGAAAGCTATGAAAGAGTCTCTGGACAATCAATCAACAAGAACAAATGCTCCTACACCATGGCTCATACCACCCCTCTTATCTCTATCAAAAGGGTTGGAAAAAATTTTCGAATGAGATACGAGCATCTTTCTATTAAATATCTGGGATGTCCCATATATGATGGGAGGAAACTCTTTGAAATCTTCACTGATCTGATCTGTAAAATTACCAATAGAATTAAAGGGTGGCATCTTAAATTGTTGTCTACAGGAGGAAGAGCGACTCTCATTAGGCATGTCCTGCTTGCCCTAAATGTTCATTTTTTGGCAACAGTCAACCCCCTAAAGGCACCCTTGAGGTGATTGAGAGGTACCTTACTCGGTTCTACTGGCCAGGTAATGAGGAAGATAAGAAATATCACTGGCAAATAATCTTGACGATATTCCTCTCTGGACCGCTGCTGAATCTGGGAAGTTTTCAGTATCTTCAGCCTGGAAGCTTTTGAGAAAGAGGAGACCTTTTGCTCGTATTGATGCAAAAATATGGCATAAACATGTACCATATAAAATGTCTTGTGTTACATGAAGGGCAATTTATAACAGAATGCCTACTGATGATAAGATAGTCAAGAAGTTTAAAATAACCATTGTTTCTAAATGTGTTTGTTGTGTTGTTATAGGTATGAACCTTGGACTTCAATCCTCAGAACACCTATTTTGCAAAGGAGACTACGCACAACGAATCTGGAGCTCCATAATTGGCAGAATGGGCATTATCACAAGGCACACAAATCTCAGAGAATTGCTCCGAAGATGCTGGAATTCCACATCCAAAAATCCAGTCGCTGAATATGATTTAAGTATCATCCTTCCAATCATTATCTGGGAATTATGGAGATTAAGGTGCAACTCTAGATATGAGGAAAAGAGACCGTCCACCAAAATATCTATTTCTCTGATCGTCTTCAACATCTTTCACTTAACCAAAAAGGTTTTCTCCAACATTAACCTTCCGGAGAATTGGGAAAGCCTACTTAAGCTCATGGAAATACAACTTGAAGACACTATCCACACCACGGTTAAATGGTCGAGACCCTCGCATCACTCTATGAAGTTGAATATGGATGGCTCTTGTATTGGAGAATCTAGTGGAAGAGGTGGAGTGGTGCGAGACTCAAATGGAAATTGCATTATGGCCTTTATTCTTCCCCTGGGAAATGGAACCAGCAATACTGCTGAAGCAAAAGCCTTCCTCTTTGGCCTGAAGTGGTGCATTGCCAATGGACACATCTTTACTACAGTTGAAACAGATTCCCTCCTCCTCCTAAATAGCATTCTCAATTTATGGTCTACTCCTTGGAGGATGAGAAAAACGGTGGAAGAAATCAGAGAGTTGATCCTCAGACACAATATTCAGATCAATCACTGTTATAGGGAAGCCAACAGAGTGGCTGACAAACTTGTTTCTTATAGTCATCTAACCAACACTACCATAGTTATTACCGACACATCCAGTCTGCCAGCACATGTTAAAGGACTCCTCAATTTAGATAAATGGCAATTTCCATCCTTTAGGATTAAAAAAAGGAAGCCTTCCTTGATTTACTATGACCCTCCTTGAGAAGTCTTTTGCTAGTTGTCACCTTTGTGCAACTTTTTTTACCCAGTGCTACTGTAATCTTCAAGAAGGCAAGGTCTTGACCTCCTTCTCAAATTGTAATTGTTTCTCAGTGACAATGATAGATATAAAATTTCAATAAAAAAAAAAAAAAAACTTTACTTAAAATGGTTGGCCAATTAAAAAAGGGAAAAAGAACAAATATACTCTCGAACTATTGTAAATGGTATGCAGATACACTCCGTCATATTTTTAGGACATTGATGCCTCTGTCGTCCAAAAACTAGAGCATATATACCCTTTATACTAACGGACATACACATATCATAATCTTATCCACCGATCCGACATTTATTAAATACCAGATCGACAGATAAAATTGTGTCACGTGTCCCTAGTCCCTATTTAGTCTTCCATTAGAGTGAAGAGCATATATACTCTGATTTTTGGACGGCAGGGACACCAATGTCCCAAAAATATAACAGAGGGTATCTGCATACCATTTACGATAGTTCGAAGGTATATTGTCCTTTATCCCATTAAAAAAACACGATTAAAATCTCATTAAGATTAGGACATCTGAATCTGAAATTCACCTCGTTATTAACTTAACTCCAATAATAAAGTCCGAAACTACCTAACTTGGTGAGTTAAAAAAGTGTTCAAATAGTGAGCAAACAAAAGTAAGCATATTTCCCACACCTTTTCTTACTCCTTTTATGTCGCGCCCACAACCTTAAACTGCTTCTTTAAACAAAAAAAAACTTCTCTGCGAAATCCTCTGTAAGTAAACAATGAAGAAAAAATTCTGTCTTTGTTATTGTCCTTCTGTTGTTGAAACAGAGGATTCTACTGATCTTCTTCTTTCAACAAACAACAATAGTACTGTTTCTTCGTCTATGAATATCTTCGTAAAAGATTCAGACGAAAAAATAACGAATCCATCGTTTAATAAAAGTATCCACAAACTTCCTACCCGGAAAATCTTTTCATACAAGAATTTCCCTCGACTTTGTAAAGCCATATTGTTTCAAGATCCTCTGGTTAGTATTATCTCTTTATATTTTTCGAACTTTACTGTCTCATTTTATGTGAAGGTGTTACTGTTTGGAGCGTTTAATAACTTTTTTTTACTATAATTTTTCTTTAATATTGAATTTTTTTTGGTTGTGTTGGGTTGTAGTAATTTTCTTCTACTTTTTTTAAAATCAGAGTTGATTTCTCGAATAATGCTCAACTTATAGTTATTATTTTGAAAAATTACTATCTTTTGAATCGAAAAGAGATGTGATTTTCTAAGATAATAACTATTAATTGTGTGACTTCTGAAAAATCAATCCATCGAATTTATGTATTTTGACCCTTGTACTCTGAATCTTTTGGATAAATTGGGAGTTGGGACACAGACGGAGTATAGAATACTCATAATTTATAGTACTTGTTAATTCCTAATAGATTTTGGTCCATTAACACTATATTAAAAATAATCTTTAACCAGAAATAATTAACAGTAATAGTTATATATTTTTTAGTGATAGTTAGCATTTTTTACAAATGTCCCTATTAGTAATGTCGATAAAAAATTTAACATTTTTACTATTGTGTATATTTATTGTCGCTAAAAATTATTTTTATTTTAGGGTAAGATCATTTCAATTTTCAAGTCTTGAATATAATATTTTGAAAAGCCCACAATTCTTCACTCCCTTGTTATACTTTCTGATTTATGACAAAAAAAAAAATTGTGGCTATTTTTGATGTACAGAGAAATATTCAGCAACTTGAGATTGAATTGAAAAGTAAAGTGAATTGGAATAAAGATGAAAAGTGCTTCAAGAAATTGGAAAATCATGAATCAAGAAAACCAGAAATGGAAGTTGAAGAAGTTAATAAAATCTCACAAGAAAAAGACAGTTCAGGTTCACATGAATCTCAAAAGTTGTCATCATCAAATTGGACAAATCCAAAAACTTCTAGTACTACTTCAACATCATCATGTGACAAGAAGAAAAAGGACTATTGTTCCTTGTTGTATTTAATTGTCATTGCTCTATTCATGACAATTTTTCTAGGTAAATCTTGGGCCATAGTGTTAACATTATCATGGCTTTATTCTATCCCTTATTATCAGACTCGACAACAATAATATATTCAGTGAAATTCTGTAAAGTGGGGTCTAAAGCTTTGATATCGAAGTCGATTAATCGAAAGTGAGAAATTTCAATTGTTGACATGAAAAAGGAAGTTAAGTGTTTTTACTTGAACAATACTTAAAGACTTGTAGCTTTTGTGATTCTTTTGGAATGGTATATCACTTTAGTACGTGCAATAAATTATTGTAGAAGCGATTAATTTAATTTAATTGGTGTACTATACATACAAGTACATTAACTATGTAGATTGTAGAGAGAAAAAATTGCTCACACTCGTTATTTTACACCAAATTATATTTAGGATCCATTTGGATAGATTTGAAATAAGGTTAACTTGAAATTGATATTTAGTTTGAATATGCATTTTGAATTTTTTAAATTATAGTATATATTTTCCTTAGATACTGCAAAAGACAACTCACATGTTTTATTTTTTTCAATAGTAATGCCAATTTTTTTTATAAAAAAATCATAAAATTAGGACAAGAGAGTACGGAACTATATATGAGGATAATTTAAAACTTGATTCTTTATGTTATGAATATGCCAACATTTAGCTATTCGAGTATTTTGTTCATCTTGATTTCACCCATCTCAATATTTTATTACTTGATTAAATTTGTCTTATTTGATTAGAAATTACTATTCAAATAATTTTTCGTCCGTATAGATTGGAACGATTTTAAAATTTATAGATCTTCCAAGTTCTTGAAATATATGTTGTAACACACTCTCTTTTTTTTTCCTACCTAGTGTCCGAAACCCACATTAGAGTTCCGATTAAATTCGGATCACGCACTGCAGGGCCCATTCGGGGGTAGTGCTCCCAACATGATTTTCTCCATACCCAAGGCTCGAATCCGATACTTCTGGTTAAGGGTGAAGCACTCCCACCAGTGCACCACAACCCATGTTGGTGTAACACACTCTTTTCGATCCTTTATGAGTTAGGTAACATATATTTTGCACATTTCTTAAGAAACTATAAATAGAAGAGTAATTTTATTATATCACCCTTTGAATATAATAAATATAATATCTTGAAAAATGTAATAGAGAAATGACTATAATTAATAATAAGGGTAAATTAGGAACTGTGTAAAATTATCCAGTGATTTCATAAAGTGGACAAGTATTGTTGGACATCTCAAAATAATATAGTGGACAACAATTGTTGGACGGCGGGAAGGGAGTACACACTCTTTTTCGTTCATTTTTACTCATTCATAATAAACTTTGCACACATGCACGTCTTAAAGAATAATAAATGAATTACATATTTATATTAATTGATGTATAATCTTTAATGGACTTGAGAAATGATTTCGAATGAATAGTTAATAACTTAATATTAAGAATAAAACCAGAAAGAAGGAAAAAAAAAAATCGATACCACCAACTTTGATATGATGGAGATTTGGACTTATTAACAGCAATTACTCATATGAACGTCAATTGCCTTTTAGATGAAAGGCAATGCTTAGGTTAAGTAATTAAAAGAATTACTAATATTTACGATTAATACTACAAGTCTACAATCCCAAAATAGAGGTGCTACAGACTATTTCTTTTTAACAATAAAAAATGATAAAATTAATTATTAAATGAATCCAAACTTCTTTTCTTTCTTTTTCTAATTGGTAAGATTTCTTTATATTGCTATTTTGTTAAAAATCTTTTCAATTTTGGGTAAATAATACTTGTGGGTACTCCCTCCTTCTTATGTTATGTACAACTTATTTGTTGCCATTTGTTAGGACACGAAATATAAGAACTATTTCAATTACGTGATACATATAATAAAAATTAGAATGATCACATTTTAAAAAAGTGTATTCAAGATTAAAATAGTCTAATCACATTGTTTGAAGACCATCGCTATAACAAAAATATTTTTTTGCGATAATAAATATGCATATTAATAAAGAGTGTTAAAATATTTACAAACATTACTTAATTATTATTAGATCTAATATTATTATAGGCTTTAAAAATATTTACAAAGAATATTAATTATCACTACAAATACATACTTAACAACAGTTAAATTGTTGTCATTAATTAATTACTACTACAGATATTTTTGATGCAGTGCATTTTGATCATTGGATCTAGTAAACTAAATGCTAAATAAGCCAGCCAAATTGCCACATGACAAACAAAAAATATTTCTTGATTTCAACTACTACTGCCCCTAACTTTATAATATAAATTGAGTCTCTTCATTTGATTTTAAAGTTGAGAAACAAATAAATGAAGAACAAACTTTTCCTTTGCTTTAAACCCATTGACGTGCATCACAAACAAGATCCAACTGTAAGTCCCTTTCTTTTTACTATGTCATACAAATTTTATAGTTGAAACAATAAAATTTACCGTTAATCTTATTAAAAAAAGATAAACGACATATTATCAAAAAAAAAAAAAATTAGCTATAGACTGATTCAGAATTTAAATTTTATGCGTTGAATGACCTTTGACTATGGTACCTTCACTTTAATTTTGCAGTTGATCAAAACAAAAAATAAGAGGAGAAACAAAAAAGACAAGTTATTAAGAAAAGCAAGCTATGAATTTTCTTATTCAACTTCATCATGTTGTTGTTCTATAGAAGATGAATTATCAAGATCAAACTCATATGATCATAAAAAAGATGCAAAAAATGTTACAGCAGAATGTGACAAAGTCATGGATTTTTCATTTTGTTGTGTATGTTTGGTTATTTTTATTTTATTTGTGCTTATATATATTGGTAAGGTCTATGCAATTATTGTAACATCTTTAGGGGTTTTGATTTTCACCTTAGTTGGAAAATCCTATGTAGTTGCCCCAACTGAAATATGAAAAAACAGACTTCTATTTACTATGGTAAATTACTCTCTCTCCTTTCGGTTTTATTTGTTCAATATTTTAAAAATAGATTTTCATTTTTATTTGTCATTTTTAACGTATTAAAAAAGATAATTATTTTTTTCATGTTATACATGTAGTATTAATTACATATTTTTCAAATTATTTTTCAACACTTAATATTATTAAACATCAATTAATAAAAATAGTGTAATAAAATAATTATGTACATCACTATTTTCTTAACAGATATGTCAAATTCAAATATAAATATAACATGTAAAAATGAACGGAGTAACATTTAACTTCTGAGTTTTTTTTTTTTTAAAGAAAAACATAATATATTTTTCAGTTTAACTACATACTATATAGATTTTTTATTTTCTAAAATTAACTAGCTGAATCATTAATAAAGAATGATATGAATGTGCACTTTGATCATTATGACATGATAATAACATAAATGTGTCCAATATTAACGCATAGTGTAAGTTAATCATTTTTAAAAGTTCAATAGCATATTTGTATTATTTATTATTTTCAGGAAAAACTTATTTGTATCGGGTGTTTACATTAAATTAATGCAATTTCCATTATTACGTGATTTAATGAAGTAAAATACATGTTAATTAACTAAAATTAAGTAAAATAAACTGTAAATTAAAACACATGATGTGTGTGTATTGAATTAGTGTAAACATCCGATGCGGATAAATTTTACCCATTATTTTGCATAAAAGCAAAAAAGTTGAGCTTATCATAACTCATAAAAAATGAAGGGAGGAGCTTATAAAATAGTTATTGCCTCGTGAAACAATTGATAGTCATTATCCCTTCAATTTTTTTATTTTTATTTTTGGAGTTGGATGGAAATAATTAAATGCATACTCATCCTTTTCATGATCTAACTTTGTGCCACGAGCATCACTCAAAGTATCCAAACTTTTCTCCATGGAATATTTATATAAAAAAAATGTATCAAACTTTGCTTAATACTGAAGTTTACGTTTTATAAAGAAAAAAAAAGTATAGGATGAGATTTCACTTAGTTTCTTTCACCTTTAATTTATTTTATCGCCAACTTCGTTTTCGTTGGCTTTTTGTAAAATCAAATCATTAAAGGGATATCTAATACATATTGACATACCCTATAAAAAAATAGATACTTTTTCATCATAATTAATAAAAACTGTGTTATAAATATAATTGTTTAATCAAATCAATTTATTAAGAAAACACAATAGATATAAATTTCATTGAAATACTGAAAGACTTCTTAATTTTTCATGTAAAAATATAATTATTTTTTTGTTTTATTGATTCAATCGATATATCAATGAAAATAACCATCGGACATTTTTCAGCGAAAAAAATTAATAAAAATAATGTTTCTTTTAGTATAATGTATATGAATAAAACATAATTTCAATTTGAGGGAGAGAAAAATGGTGTGGAGATCAGAGGGGTGCTTCTGCTTTTGCTATAAAAGTTTTAGTAGCAAAAGTGTGCTAAGGTCCTTTACAATATCTTAGTTTTCAACAAAGATTTAACTCCCACTTGAGTATTTAGTTGATTGCTATAAAGTGTTTTTTTTTTGTTGTGTTATATGATATTTTATCTACAATTATATAAATATATAGATTCTGGTGTTGCTTAAACCTAACTTCATTCATATGTAAATATAATAATATAATACACATACATAAAAAATGATTTTTAAAGGTAATTAATTAAGGATAATAGTTTAATTATCGTTAAATATGTATTTTCAGCAACAATTAACACTCTTTATAAATATCTCTAAAGCCTATAACCAGCATTGAATCTAATAAAAATTAACTAATATTAGTAAAGATTTTACTAGCATTCTTTTATTAATATGTGTATACATTGCTGCTAAAAGCTGTTTTTCTGCCGTGATATTTTTCTTTCTACTTTATCGGAAGAATATCCTCTCCTCTTTTGGTACCGTCTTAGATTAGGTGCTTGCGAAGAAAGAGGAAAAATAAACTTTGATCACACAATGACACGTATATAGTAGGAAAATTTTATAACCAAAAATATAATAATTAAATATTAATAAAGCGGGTTGAAAAGCATATACATGATATATAGCCCCTTAACTAGTTGTCTAATAAAAAAT